CTCTCTCCCTCTCTCTCCCTCTCTCCGTGTGTGTATGTGTCTATGTGTGTGTGTGTGTGTGTGTGTGTGTGTGTGTGTGTGTGTGTGTGTGTGCGCGTGTGTTCATTAGAACTTGGGATAGGTGCAAACATGTTTGTGCGTGCCTTTGAGCAAGACAGAACGAGAGGAGTATGGGAAGGAATTAAATTGGGCTGACAAGAGAGCTGAAGAAAGAGCGTGATACTCAGGAATCGATCTCGGGTCTTTTGTGTGAGACGACGAAGCGCGTAGCCGCTACAGCGCAGACGCCGGTCATATATCGAAGGCAACAGCGACACACAATCCTATACATTAACAGGTCATTGTCATCGAGTTCTGTTTTTTTTCCCCAAAGGGGCAGTTCTTTAAAAAAATCGGATGATTTCATCAACATAATTAATATTATCAAATGTCACAACCCGCCATATTCGATAGGCAACGTAGCCTTTATGTCTCTTTACATCGCTCCCCCAAGCTTCACAAAGAACTGTAAAGCGATCTACGACAATGATAAAAAAAAATCCATTACGCATGACCACTTTTTTTATTCTTGAATGTAAACTACCCCCCCCCCCCCCCCTCTCTCTCTCTCATTCTCTTATGACAGAAGCACATCATACTAACTACTAACAAACATTACACAGCCCGCTGCGTGAAAACTGATATATATCCACGACTACAAATGTCTGTCCACAAGCCATTAAGTGAAATCGTCACCTAATGTTAATAATTCGATTAATGATCCAGCTTTCGTTCGGATCACAAGTTGGTATTTTATCATCGAAAACAAACACGCAATGACGTGAGGGGAGGGGTAAGACTAAGACTAAGAGCGTGTTAGCATGATTATCATTAAGGCGTAGGGGCGCCGCAGGCTCGCATGTCAATAGTTTATGAGCGTACATGTTTTACAAATTCCCATGCTGAAACAGCATCTTGACATGTATTTTAGTTCGGTAAGAGTTTTATGGCGCGGGCAACTGCATGAAGTCGTATGAGCGCGCGAGACATGTTTTATTGGTGGCTTTATAAATGAATTACGGTTCAGGTAGAACATATTTTTCTGTGCTGTCTTCTACCAAATAGTAGAGACATATTAGCGGGCCACTCACTATAAAAAAGTATAGTTAACGATTAAGGAATGACAAATTAAGTTTCTGGGCCACTCGAATCAGCACTAAGGCGATGCTATTTTACTGGAAACATAAAAGGCAAGCGAAGCAGGGGTTAAACCCAGAGCAATTTATTTGAAAACTTTGTTCAAATGGGCGGCGGGAAAACGCCAGGATCATACACTTTTTTTCATGAGTATCCCAGCAGAGAAATGAAAGGAGAAACATGGTCATCAATGTCTGTTTCAGATCTGGTGCATAAAACCACGGGGACTTCTATGGCAACATAAAATATTGCTCAACTTTTAACATCACTATCAACACACATTAGATCACTTCAAGGGAAGGCAGCTTCGAACCTGCCGCTGTTTGGGCCAATCTCAGCGGAGTGGAGTACAGCGTCTCAGCAGATAGACTGAGATACCTCAAAGAAATAACTCACCCTTGAGGACATCCAACTCATGTTTATCTTAAAATTACTGTAATTACATCACAGATGCTGGTAACACACACACGCGTGCATACACAAACTAGAAACATTATATAAAACAACTTATTTTGATAAAGGATAAGCACACATTTTTTAGAAAAGTCAAACAATGTGGTACCTTATACTCACCAAAAAGCTTCAGAAAAAGGCTTGTCTCTTATTATATCACTCAGGAATGGTCATGATATAGAGTAAGGACTATATATATACAGGTATCAGGTATCACAATTGTCACACATTTGCATATACATTAATATCAGTTGAACTCGTCCATAGAGAGGACAGCAGAAACTTAAGCTATAGGAGAGTCACAGAGTTAAAAAAGATCGAGGTCAATATTTTAAACATGTGTCAGCTGGTAGGGTCACGTGGTCAATTTGGGTTCTCATGGTGAGCTCATGGGTCATGTGTTACCATGTGGATCGTTTTCTCAGCATCAGCGTCTCATTCTAGTAACCCGGATATTTGGAGTAAAACAAATCTACTGAAAAACTTTAAACAGTTGGACCCATATATTCCTGATTCATATACATGTATGTTTGCGATTCAGTTATAAGGCATGATTTAAGGTAACAAACAACGGCAAGCAGCGGTTGCTGAATCTCACACTGACTTTCATAGCTGTCCAAAGTGGTAAACCCAAAACCCAAAATGTATAACTTATACAACCTAGGTCCACCGTATTGACCTACAGCTTATGTCCAAATAACGTCAGTTGTATGAGAGGAAAAATAGTGGAAACAGAGAAGAAAAAAAAGTCCGCTTTTAAGATTCAACCAAATATATGAGATTTTGGTGCATGTATAAGGCTTTGAGGAAAGAATTCTGCTGTCATGAAGAAAACCAAAAACGTAGGCAATTGATATAATTCATGAAGGCATTAGATCTTGCAGCTGGCAAGTCGACAACATTATAAGTACAGCATATTACTGTTTCAAGGCATGTGACAGAGGACAGCATCAACAGGCAGAGATATGGACTCTGGTGTGAACAAGGAGAGTAAGAGGTACATTAAATGAAAGATGTCCAAAGAGTAATTATGTGAAAATGGTCAAAGCTAAAAAAAAAATTAATAGCTCTTTTGATATAATCTGTAAATGTGTAAACGATATTCAACTGGCAGAGCGCCCTATTCTTGTTGCAGTCAAAAGTGCCAGTTGCACAACTGAACACATCTATTCATGACATCAAACAACATCAAACTCATGAAAACCCCCATGAAGAAATTAACGGTCAAAGGTAATTCAAAAGTGAGTGGAGTCATATTAAGTTTACACTCAAGAGGCAATAATCCCACTGAACATTTCCATAAAACTCTGCTGCTTTGTAATGGCAGTAGTTATGATGATTACAAGCAGTTAATATTACTAGCATAATTTGCTGAATGTATGGTAGATGATTCTGGTAGAGCTTCAAAGCTAGAAACCAGTATTACATGAGTCCAGATGAGTTGTCGCTCTTATTCGTGAAGATATTCATATATATGCCACTTATAACAGGGAAAATGCTGCACATGGCTCTTGACCCTCTGAATTCAGTCATTGTTGTTGGTTTAATTAAGTGCCCAAAAGTAAATGAGGGAATGCCATTTGGATGACTGAGAAAAGGCAATATTTCCCAACACTACCCTCAGACAAAAGAATGAATATGATTTAATGAATATAGACGGTTGGGAGGTCGCCAACCATATAATCTTGATCTTGCTCCATCAGAATTTCATGCTCCTACAGCCATATTTAACAGGAAAGAGGGTCACGGAAGTAGGTGATAAAAAATAAATAAATTGGTAGCATTCACTTCACCAGAATTATTAAAGGAGGGATCATAGCCTTAATTTAATATTTTGTACATTTCTCGATGAGCCAGAACAGGACAAGAAAGTATCAATCTTCATCAACGGAAGTGGAGTGAGAAATAGTTATATATATATGCTGTCACTACACAAGTTTAGTTCAAACCCTGTATCATAGAAATCATTCTATGGCCACTTTCACCTGACTTTTCGATGAATTTTGAACATCTCTTTTTATTTTATTTTAGTATTGACTTACTAGATGGGTGGGGTGCTGAGACATGCGATTAAACGTAGAATGACGCAAACCATTTTTAGGTAAGGTGGCCATATATTATCTTGTTTGACATGAGACCAGGATACCCCTCCAATCATGTCACTACATCTAAGTATAGCCAACCGCATGGCACCAAAGATGGAAGTGTCTATGTATATCAAGCTTAATCTACCTCTCGCTGTTGGAAGTTCTGATAGCTGAATTGACAGCGCGTCTGCGTTTGAAGTCATGCAATTATTTTATGAGTGGTTCGACCCATGTCCTGGAAAAGTTTTTTTTCTCTCTCTTCTCCTCCTCCCGACTGACCAACAGTTTGTCCCATAAATTATAATTTGTTGCTTTGTAGTTTATTTTTAAAAAATGTATACTAGTGATGAAGAATGCTGGAGG